GGGCCCAGCATGTCTGAGAACTGACCATGCAGTAGAGCCTGTGGAGCATTAAAGAATATTCACAGTGAGCCTCCAAGCAGCCCAGTAAGCTGAGCTTAGCTTCTGCACAGCAGCCCCAGGTGTCTCTGGCCACTCTGAGGTGTTGGTTTCCCTCTGCTGCCTGGAGTGGGAGACTTCAGCGAGAGCCCCCAGCTAGAGGAGAAACCAGCCGACCAAGACAAGCACACGGACACCAATACCAACAGTGAGGATCTCAAGCACAAAGCATAATTTGGTTTTGGCAATTTTTATCGTTGTGGAGTTTGTTTGTTTTGTTAGATAATTATAAAGTGTTGTGTATAATCCGTTTTTTAAACTAAGAGCAGAGAACAAAAGTGTTTAGTGCATGCAATAAACAATAACACGTTTGTTTTCCCCTAGCAACTTAATGACAGAGAAAAACGGAGGATTTGTTCGAGAAAGACAGATCCCACAGAGACGGAGTGCAGTCCATGCTCGGGGACGATGTTTAGGACTCAGAAGGCTTGAGGCAGGGCCACTTGCCCGGGTCACTTCTGCCCTTTGTCCTTTTGCTGGACCTGCCAGAAGAGGGTTGAGTTTCACAGTTTTTATGTTGTGATGTTCTCCCCCCACTGCTGAGTGGAATGCTGAGTGTTGTGCACACGTGGAAGTGTTGGATGCTGGTCTGGTCTCGGCACAAATGCCTGTTGGCAGGTGTCCACATCGGCCTCTGGCATTTGGTGGCACCTGTCTGTGGGAGCTGGCAGTGACACATTCACATCAAGTCATTACATTGTGCTCTGTTTACCTGCTAAAGCAGCTGTGGGCTGTAGCCTCCCTAACTGTGGTGGGAAAAGTTGACGGGATGGGAAGGTTCCCCTTGGCTCCTGTCTCTGACTTTGGAGCTGGGTGACTTTGAACAGGCGTCCTCAGTTCTCCTGTGTGTAAGATAGGGTGAAAGTGGTTTCCCTGTTTACTGAGCAGGGTGGCTGAAGGTGAAATGAGAAGATAAAGGCATAATCATAACAGATTGAATGTTATCACTGTGAAGATAACACTCACTGCAAGTCCTTTAGTGCCAGCTCCAGGTAATGCGTCTGCTCCCTGGCTCCTGGTTGGGGACACTGCTCTGGCTGAGAGCCATGAGGTGGAGCCAAGTGGAGGTGGCAGGGCCCAGAGGCTGCTTCCCCCAGGAAGGGGGTTAGATGCCCTGTTCTTCCTTCCAGAGACCAAAGTAGGGCAGGAGCGTCTCCTGAAGGGGTTGAGAAATTCCGGGCAAGTGATGGTGATTTCCTCAGTGGGTCACATTGGCAGCGCACAGGGAACGCTTTCAGTTCTGCTGGCACTAGAGGGCCTGGGGTAGTTGGTGCCCTCCTGACCTCTGGAACTGGGTTAGATTTATAAGCTGCCCTCCATGTAGATGCCACATGGAAGGCATGCTCACTCCGCCTGTGGTGGCTCTGGAGTGTGACTTATCTGCACCTTGGACTGTGTCCTGTGGGGCTAGAATGTATAATCCCTGAGTCAGAGTCAGGCAGCCTTGCAGGTGGGAGCACAGACCCTGGCGGGAGGCTTCCTAGCTATTCCCAGGCCTCATTTCTCTCCAGCATGCAGAACAATTCTGGCTAAAATTCAGCCAGTCACTGCCTCTCCCTGTGAGCTTCCACTTCTTGTTGATTATTTTGAGCATTGTTTAGGGTTACTTTTTTGGGAGGAGAGGGAAGAGTAATCTTCTAACTTAAAAAACAAACTGACACTCTCCAACCATGTGAACTTGCCTTATTTGAAACTCTGTGTGTAGTGGATTGAATTATGTCCCCCCAAAACTCACTGAAACTTGAATTGTGTCCCCCAAGTTTTATGTATTAGAAACAGCCCCCACTGTGACTGTTAAGAGGGTGGGAAATCCTATTATAGTAATTGAAAGGTGGAACCTTGAAGAGGTAATTGGATCATAGGACCATGCAGTAGTGAATGGATTAAAAATGGTGGTCAGGGGCGTGGTTCTGAGGGCTTTAAAAGAAGAGGAGAGTCTGTCTTTCTCTCTTGCTCTCTCTGCTTCCACCATCTTGCAATGAAAGGCCCCTGGGTCACTGTAGCCACCACCAAAACCCTCACCAGTTGTGTTCCCTGGACTTTGGACCATTCCCAGCCTAAGAAACTGTAAGCAATAAATGTCGTTTTTCTTTATAAATCACCCTGTTACAGGTATTCTGTTATAGCAACAGAAACGGACTAATACAGAAAATTGGTACCAGTGAGTTGGGGTATTGCTTATAACAGATACTTGAAAATGTGGAAACGGCTTTGGAACCGGGTGTTGAGGAGAAGTTGGAGGAGTTTGGAGGACTCAAAAAGAAGACAAAAAGACGAGGGAAAGTTTGGAATGCCTTAGAGACTGGTTACGTGGTGGCGAGCAGAATGCTGATAGAAATATGGACTGTAAAGACCGTTCTAAGGTGGTCTCTGATGTAAATGAGAAGGGACTTATTGGAAACTGGGGCAAAGATCACCTTTGCTGTGAACTGGCGAGGAATCTGGCTGCATTCAGTCCATGCCCTAGGACTTTGTGGAAGTTGGAACTTATGAGTTGTGAACTAGAGCATCTGGCAGAAGAAATTTCTAAGCAGCAAAGCATTACGGAAGCTGAATGACTACTTGTAACAGCCTATGCTGAGTTATGGCAGCAAAGGCACAATGTAAAGCCAGAATTTAAAAGGGAAGCAGAGTGTAAAGATTTGGAAAATTTGCAGCCTGACCATGTGGTAGAGAAGCAGAGAGCATGCAATGGTGCAGCCCAGCAACCATTAGCTAAGAAGATTAGTACAAAGTAAAGAATTATCAAAAGAAGAAGAAAAAGGCCATGAAGGCATTGCAGAAGCCTCTAGGAGCAACCCTTCCATTTCAGGCCCAAAGACCTAAGGAGACAGAATGGTCTTGGGGAGCAGGCTTGAAGAGCCCTCCATGGGCTCACTGCCCAGAGCCATCTTGGGAAGTGGCTTCCAGCACCAGCATCCCAGCTGCTTTGGCTGCTCCAGCTGTGGGTAAATTGACCCCAGGTGTGGCTGGACATGCAGCTTTGGAAAATACAAGCTGGAAGGCTTGGCGGAATCCACCTGGTGTTAGGTCTGCAGGCTTGCAGAATGCTAGAGCTGTGGAGGCTTGGGAGCCTCCACGCCAATTTCAGAGGATGTATAGAAAAGTCTGGGGGCGCAGTAAGAGATCTGTTACAGGGACAGTGTCACTGCAGACAGCCTTCACTAGAGCAATGCCGAGTAGAAATGTGGGGTCCGAGTTGCAGCAGAGAAACCCCAACAGCAACACCTCTAGTGGAGTTGTGAGAGTGGGACCACCATGGAGACCCCACACCTGTGGAGCTACCAGAGTGGAACACCAGCCTGGGAATGCTAAAGTGTGGCCTAAGACCAGGAAAGCCGTAGGAGCGGAGCTACCCAAGGACTTGGGGACCCAAACCCCACACCAGAGGAGTGGAGAAGAGGTCGAACATGGAATCGAGGTACCTGATTCACCAGCTTTGAGATTTAATGCCTGCCCTGCTGGGTTTCGGACTTGTTTGGACCTGTTACCCTTTCTTTTGGCCTATTTCTCCCTTTTGAAATGGGAATATGTACCCTATGTTTGTCCCACCATTGTATTGGAAGTAGATAACTTGTATTGATTTCACAGATGGGACTTTGAACTTTGGACTTTTGAGTTCAAACGAATCAAGACTTTGAGGATGAAATGAATGTATTTCCATGTGAAAAGGACATGAGTTTTGGGGGGCCAGGGGCAGAATGTAGTGGATTGAATTATGTCCCCCCAAAACTCACTGAAACTTGAATTGTGTCCCCCAAGTTTTATGTATTAGAAACTTAGCCCCTGCTGTGACTGTTAGGAGGGCGGGAAATCTTATCATGGTAATTGAAAGGTGGAGCCTTGAAGAGATGATTGAATTGTAGGACCATGCAGTAGTGAGTGGATTGAAAACGGAGGTCAGGGGCATGGTTCTGAGGGCTTTAAAAGAAGAGGGGAGTCTGACTTTCTCTCTTGCTCTCTCTGCTTCCACCATCTTGCAATGAGAGACCACTGAGTCACTGTCGCCACCTCCAAGACTCTCACCAGCTGTGTTCCCTGGACTTTGGACTTCCCAGCCTAAGAAAATATAAGCAATAAATTTCATTTTCTTTATAAATCACCCAGTGTTAGGTATTCTGTTATAGCAGCACAAAACGGACTAAGACACTTTGTCACTGGGTTCCCAGACGCCCACCGTTTGGGATGTGCTGGAGAGAGCAGCCCTGCATGCGTGTCCAGCTCAGCCCATTGGTGAGGCACGTGCTCATCTACCCTCAGCCCTCCCTCCTCCTAACTAGCACTTGTCCAGGCTCAGATTCCTAAACATGTTACTTAGAATTTACCTGTGTACATTAAATTTTATTGGCTGCTCCTTGGTTTTACCTAGTTTATGTCATTGTTTTAGAATCTTGGGTACAGCCTGTGGCTCACTTGGGAGAGCATGGTGCTGACAACACCAAGTCAAGGGTTAAGATCCCCTTACTGGTCATCTTTTGGAAAAAAAAAAATAATTTTATATGGTCTTGAAATCCCTAAATTGATGAGATTAAATAAGAAGCTGAGATGGTGGACCTTTAAGTCCAAGGTGGTTACGCACATTAGGCCCAGCCTGCTGCGTGGGGTGCTTCCTTGTGCCAGGCACTTGGGCAACCTTCGTCTGGCTGGGGATTTGGAGGGTGTTTATTTTATTTATTTCTTTTTTTTTTTTTTTTTTTTAAAGATGACCGGTAAGGGGATCTTAACCCTTGGCCTTGGTGTTATCAGCACCATACTCTCCCAAGTGAGCCATTGGCTGGCCCTTGGAGGGTGTTTAAATATTGCTTTAGGCAAAGTGAGGATAGGACCAGGAGGGTGTTAACAGGCTGTACCCTTTCTGTCCCCCAGCGCTGCACCAGGGAACCGAACAGGTGTTTGCTGGTGCGATGCTGCCCCACATGATGCGGTCCTTTCGGCGCCTGGTCTGCGCCTTGGCCTCCTGCTGGCCAGTGCCCATGAGACACAGAGGAGGCAGCCTGCTGCACACAGCCTCAGTGGCCTGCCCGGACAGGACTGCCCCGGTGTTCACCCGAGCCCTGGCCTTTGGGGACAGAGTTGCCCTCATTGACCAGCACGGCCACCACACATATAAGGACCTTTACAACCGCGGCCTTCGCCTGTCTCAGGAGATCTGCAGGCTCCGAGGGTGTGTCAGTGGGGACCTCGGGGAGGAGAGGATTTCCTTTCTATGCTCCAACGATGTCTCCTACGTCATTGCCCAGTGGGCCTCGTGGATGAGTGGTGGCATCGCAGTCCCCCTCTTCAGGAAACACCCTGAAGTCCAGCTGGAGTATTTCATCCGGGACTCCCAGAGCTCTGTGGTCATTGCTGGCCAGGAGTATGTGGAGCTCCTGAGTCCAGTTGTCAGGAAGCTGGGAGTCCCGCTTCTGCCTCTCACACCCGCTGTCTATGATGGGGCTACAGAAGAGGAGGAGGGGCCGGTGCAGGAGCTGCAGGAGCGGGAGTGGAGAGATCGGGGTGCCATGATCATCTACACGAGTGGGACCACAGGACAGCCCAAGGGCGTGCTAAGCACCCACCACAACATCAGGGCCATGGTGAGTGCGGGCGGCTCCCGGGAGTGGCTGAGCACAAGGGTCAGGGGTGAAGTGTTCAGGCATAGAGGGACATGGGGCCCATGGAGTGACCCCATGAGGACCATGTGGCTCATTGAGGAGAGAATGGACCCAAGATGTGACATGGAGGTATTTTTCAGAGAGACCAGCCACATAGGATATGTGATCAGGATCTGAAATTGGGATTTATTTGGGAACCTGAAAGCAGGGATTACCTTTATGTCTACTTTGCCTTATGCATTATTTTTCTGTTCTGTAGTCTAGTTACCATCTTTGCAGAACTTTTCAGCCAATTTATAATTTATGCCCTGTTTACTTCCAAAAAGTACGTCCAATAAAGTCTCTTACGGACTAGAAGCAATAAAATAAAAATAAAAGCTCAAGACCACAAAGAGGAAGGTGGGACTGACGCTCCACAGAATCCCTGGCTGAGCAGTCTCTGTGAACCTGCTCGGGCTGCCTGGCACGTGTGTCCTCACATGTTTGCCGAGAGCATCTCTGGACTCTGTGAGGGAGTGGAGCCTCCTGTGTTGCTCCGTAGAGGTTGTGGCACCTGCGGTACACCATGTCCTCAGTGTGATTTCACAGAGGAGCAAATGGGTCTTGCCTTACGTCACTTCTCAGTGAAAGACTATGGGTTCTGTCACAGCCGAGCAGGGTGATGATGGGACAGGGTAGGACAGGAATCAGCAGAGAGCCCAGCAAAGGCAGTGCTGGGCTGACTGGGTGGCTGGGCTGGGCGACTCCATTCAAACCTGAGCTCTGCTGGGTCGCCAAATCCCAGGTCCCGGGCAGGGGGTGGAGCCAGGAGGCAGTGCCAGAATCACACCTCTCCCTGTCTGGGTGCAGCTGCCAAGTATGTTTGCAGAGCCTGTCAGACACGGTCCAAATTCACTAAAGCCCTGGCTGTTAACAGCACTGTCTGCATCCCTGGGATATAGGGGTGACCCAGCAGATCCTTGGTCATTTTGTCGTCACCTCCCTTAGCTGCCATAGGTACGAAAACAAAGAACGAGCTCTCTTCTTCCTCTCTCCCGTCTGGACCCCCTCCCTCTCGCTCCTGTTCTTAGGCAGTGCTCTTGTCCCCTGCAGGTGACCGGGCTGGTCCACAAGTGGGCGTGGACGAAAGACGATGTGATTCTCCATGTCCTCCCACTGCACCATGTACACGGCGTGGTCAACAAGCTTCTCTGCCCACTCTGGGTGGGAGCCACCTGTGTGATGGCGCCCGAGTTCAGCGCTCAGCTGGTGAGTCGGGGCGGGGCTCTCAGCACTGCCCATGGGCCCATCTCTGGCATAGAGACCTCACAGTGGCTGTAACAAAGATCACAAACCTGGTAGTTTAAGACAACACACATTTATGCTCTTATGCTTCTGTAGGTCAGAAGCCTGGGCGAGTCGTATAGAGCCAGCATCAAGGTGTTGGCAGGACTGGTTCTGTCTGGAGGATCCAGGGAGAGTCTGTCGCCGCCTTATCCACTGTCTAGGGGCCGCCTGGGCTCCTCGGCTTGTGGCTGCATTGCTTATCTCTGCTTCTGTCCTTATGCAGCCTTCTCCTCTCCTTTAGCAAAATCTCCCTCTGCCTCCCTTTTATAGGCCCACGTGGATAACCCAGGATAATCTCCCATGTTGAGACCCTTAACTTAATCCCATCTGCAAAGTCCCTTTCACCACTGAGGTGACAGGCACAGTTCCGGGAGCAGGATGTGGGCACCTTGGGGCCGTGATGCAGCTGCTACACCAGCTCTCCAGTCTCTCTGCCCTTTCTCCCTCCCAGCATTTCTGTCCTTCGTAGCACTGGCATTGGGGCAGACAAGGAAGAAAGGATGTGCCCCCTGGCTGTGTGAGGAGCACAGAGGGAGCTGCGCCATCCCCCCGGGCTGCCTTGTGTGGCATCACCTGTGCAGGGCATCTCCAAGCAGCAGTGCAAAGACAATGCTTTGGAGGGAAAGAAAAGACTTGGGTTCAGCGCCAACCCCACCCATGGTGACTCGGTGGCAGCATAACCTCTCAGAGACCCAGGCTCTTTGTCTGACATTTGGGGACAATGGTGGCTTCGTAGGGTTGCTGTGGGGCTCGTGGCATGTTTCCACTGCCACACACTGTGCTGCTCGCCAGCTGCAGAAGTTACAAAAGAGGATGGCCTCGAACAGCACAGGAAGAGCTGGGGACACTCACCTCAACAGGGGTGCTGCAGAGCACACTTCTTCAGTGAGGTCATAGACTTTGTTGATTTACACTGTGATTGACATAATGAATACAACTTTTGTTCTCGGGGGAAAAAGTTAAAAGGTGAATGTATGAAAAAAACCTTAGTATTTGGATCATATAATAACACTTCTCAAATCACACCACGCCCACCAGTCAAGCAGAGGAGCCCTCTGAGGCAGGTTTCTGGGGCCAGGCTCCTGGTCTGTACCAGCCATGCAGGTTGGTGGCAGCACAGGGGCTGTCCTGCAGGTGGACAAGGGAGTCACAGCATTAAAGGCCCCAAGCACACTGCTGTGGGCCAGGTGCTTGCTAGGACTTTTTTCCAGGGTCTCTCTGGCCCCCTTGAGGGACCTGCTCAGAGAAGCTCTTAGTCTCTGCCTAGTAGTTCAGTACTCAAATTTTAGTTAAGAGCAAATTTCCTCACAAAGAGGTCTCTGAAAGCCAGAGTCCCTGGTCTGCAGAATGCACCATTTACCACAGTCTGCCTCCTCAGCTGCAGCAGGCAGGAGTCAAGGTCTCAGGCCGCCCTCCTCGTGTCCTGGCATCTTAACCCACATGCAGGGTTGGGAGGTGGGGTGCAGGCAGATCGTGTTCCATCTGGCCAGCCCTCCACCTCTTTGACCCTCAGGCTTGTCCTCTAACGCTCTGGGCTACATGAGCCCGGGGTGCATGTAGGATGCCTGGCCTGGTGCCCGGCAGGCACCACAGCCAGGAGGGCACAGAGTTGAGAAGGAGAAGGGGGGTTTCCTTTGCGTGCAGTGGGAGGAATGTCTGGAAAGAGAATTCAGTAGCAGTGTCATGAGACCAAGAGAGCCTGTTTCCTGGCAGATACTAACACTGGCATTTAGAGAAGGATTTATTTAAAATCTAGCGGTTACCATTGTGGCAACAGAGGTCGCTGCCGTGGGCCATGGTGGTCCCTTTCAGACCCTGCCCTGAGAGCCCTGAGGGCCCTGGGCCTTGCTGTTCCTCCTTCAACCCCAACAGCTCCATCTTCATCTTTCTGTGAGTTTTTTAAGCTACAGGACCCTTAATGATTCTAGATGAACAGAGGGCCTGTGTGAAGCTGGTTTCCTGGTTCCTAACTGGGCAGTGTCACGATGCCCTGATAGGTGTGGCTGGTGCATTGCAGGCCAGCACAGCATGGAGAGACCCAACAGGCTTGCCTTCCTAAAGCCACGAAACTCAGTGACCGTGAGTAGAAGCAGGAGGGAGGCCGGCCTCTTCCACACGCTGACCTAGGCCTCATCCCTCAGGCCATCCCCACATGCCCTGCCTTGTCCCGCTGTTGCTTTGCCTGCCCAGGTTCCCTCTCCTCTCTGCATGCCTTGGCGCCGCCTCTCTACTTGACGCCACGACCCCACCCTCCTGTGTTGTTTACTGCAGCCCGTTGCCTTCGCACATACAGCAGAATCTGCTGCATGTTGTGCTCATGTCTCCTCTCTCCCGACAACATCTCTCCATGAGGGTATGCACTTGTCCTGTACACGGCATGTCCCTGACCTTGGGCAGCAGGGGCATGTCCCTCCATGAGTGCGTGATGGATGGAGGAGTGAGTGTGTGCTTGTCACTTTGGACGGCACATCGAGGCTCCAGGCCCAGGTTTCTGAAGCCCTTGAGCTCTCTGGATTCTCTCTCTATAAACTGCCTCGCTTTACTTAAATGTCATCGTGACCATCTGAATTTACATAGCAGGCGTACTGGGGGACAGTCCCCTAAAATCACTTAGTGAAGTAACTGTTCAGTGAAAGCTTTGGTGTCACTCTCCTGAGGAGTCAGGTAAAGCATAAATAAGTGCAGCACGGCACAGTTCACCACCTGAAACCTATCACGAGTCTCCTGAAATCTCAGGGTTCATGCACGTTTATGAGGAGCCCAGATAGCAGGAGCCGGCTCTTTGCTCACAGCAAGGCTGCTGGAGAGCCAGAGGCCACTCCTTAGGTGCCTCCTGTTGCACATGCCTCTGGACAGCATGTTGTGTGACAGGCTCACCTGTGTCTTTGAGCTGGTGGGAGATTTTGTGTGAAAACAGGCAGAGAATCTCATCCGTGGTGTATGGGAGCCCCCCTGCCGTTCTCAGTGTCCCCCAGGAGTTCTTGCTGGTTTGAAAGCTTGATCAATTTAATTTTGCAGCATGTGCACCTGTTTAGTTTTGCTGAAGGGAGAATGGATTGTGGAAAAGTGAGCACTGTACAGGAAAAAAAAACTGACAGGGATTTCACACCTGTTCCCAGAATGTCGGATTTTATACAAGAGGGGTCTTCTAGAAGGTCATGGAAAGATTCTTTTTTTTTGTCTTTTTCGTGACCAGCCGCATTGCACTCAGCCAGTGAGTGCACCGGCCATCCCTATATAGGATCCGAACCCGCGGTGAGAGCACTGCTGCTCTCCCAGCGCTGCACTCTCCCGAGTGCGCCACAGGGTCGGCCCTGGAAAGATTCTTATTGTCTTTTACTTCCATCTTTCCGTGAACTTTTGATGTACACTTGTATGTGATTCTTTGGCCTCCTGGGCATTCTCCGGCCTCTCCACAGTACCGAGGTGCTAGCACTTCTGGAGGCAGTGAGACTATTCATTTACCACTGGCTGGGCTGGGGTTGTACTGCTGGCCGGGCGGTTTGGTCAGGCCTGAGGGTGGGCATTTCCACCCTGCCCCCAGGGAGGCCCACCCCTGGTACAGGCACTCTGAGCAGCAGGCACCTGTGAGGTTTGTGTGGGTTGTCTGTCACTGGAACTAGATTGCAACCTTCCTCCTGTCGACGTAGTGAGAGATTAGAGGTTGTGAGGTGCTGGGAGACTAGGGCTCCTGTGCAATGTAGGGGAGAGATCTGTGACCCTGGGTATTGGGTAAGACTCCTAAAGGCCAGGTTCACCTTGCAGAGCTAAAGCAGGAGCCCTGATGAGTTCATTCCCTGCCAGGCAGTCCTCCCCAGAGCTTCCCTGATGGCCCCACATCCAGGATCACCTCTGAGAGAGCTTCCCCATTACTGTTGGTCTCAGCTCTTACTTTTCAAAAACAACTTAGCACTTTCACAGCTGTGACTTTGTCGTCTGCTTAAGATGCAGAGAGTGCCACTGTCTCCTCTGCAAGGTCCATTCTAAAGACATCTGCCCAGCACCCGGGACAAGGCCACTGTTGGCTCCTTAACTGAGGAGGACTCGCCCAGTCCCACTCTCTCCTAACTGTGTGCTTTCCCTGGTGAACTCCCAGTGAGGAGCCGTTCTACATAGAATGTTACTGTCTGTCCTCTGACTGGGGGCTCCCTCAGCTGCCCCCTGCCCTTGAGCATGGTCAGACCTGACTGCAGGAGCCTTTGTCCACAGGCACTCACTGTGCATGGCCTGCTGTGATCATGTGGACAGAGGCACCAGTGGACTTTGTCCTGGACCATGCCAGGAAGTGTGTGCAGCCAGCAGGCAGAGAATCTCCTTCAGGCCAAGGGCAGGTTTGTTTTGTCCGTCACAATAGAGATCACGTTGCCCTTGAGGTAAGAGTCAGGCAGTCACCTGCCCATTGTGGAGGATTTGGGTTTCCTTAGCACAAGGTTCCTCTCCTAACACACGGCTGGATGGGCACACTGGCCCTCTCCCTGTGCCTGTGGGCACCGGGGCTTGGGAGCTGCTGCCCTGGGCATCTGGGGTCCTCTACTGCAGCATCAGTGACACTGCAGATGACTCAGTAGCTTGCAAGGAGGGTAAAATCTCAGACCTCCGCAGTTCTGGACACCCCACTTAGGATTTTCTCAAAACTTAATATTGAAACAAATGCGACACTGTGGCTGAGAAAGATTACAATTCTTCCATAAACCTGACTTTCAGATGTTGGGGAATTTAGAAATTTATGTCAGTGAATTCCAGCTTTCAACTGTATTAAACATTGGAGTTTTGTCTAGATTGTACCTATAAAGTGTGTGTAGGGTGACCAGAAACCTGGCATGGAGTGTCATGATCTTAGACTTGAGGTCTTAAAGCCATCCTGCTCAAGAGAGGGCCAGGTCATGTCTGACGAGGCGGCGGGGACAGGGAGGAGGGTGGGAAGACACACATACTGCCGTCACCCTCTGGAAAGCAAAGTCCTGCCACTGACCAGGCTGTCCAGAGTCTCACCAATCGCTTCACCCCGGCCGACTTCCTCAGATCAGAGCAGCAGTTCATGGGTGGGACCCGATGGTGTAGACACTGGAGCTCCCAGGCAACTCCTCTTTGCCCCTCTCTGGGAACCGTGGTCTGCTCTGTGCTGTTGCAGCAGCAGTCTGTGGTCGCACCACCAGACGGCTTTTCAGTAGTGAGGTGCTTGTTACTGTTCTCCCAAGGGGTCCCCGAGGCCTACAATTCTGGGGCGTTGGCAGTGTGTTGGGTAGGAGGACACTGCTGCCGCCTCAGTGCGAGCTGTAGGGTAGCAGCTGCCTTTGCTCACTTGGATGGGCACCAGGGCAGACGGCCTTCCTGGCGGGGGTTCCCGGAGCAGCCATGGCATCTGTGACATGGAAGCACTGGTCAGCATCCTTCACATCATTGGTCCTTTGTCTTTGATTATCAGTTTATATTCTGCATAAAAGGTCTTTGTCACAAATATGTACATGAATCTTTCCCACTGATCTCTGGCTTGCCGCTACACTTATTTTTAACAATGTCTTTTGATAAAGAGAATTTTTAATTTAATTTAATTTTTTTTATTTTTATTTTTATATTTTTTTCCTTTTTGTCTTTTTTCGTGACCGGCAACGGATCGCAACCCTCAGTGTCGCGCCCGGACCAGACCGGGACTGGCAACAGGATCGCAACCCTTGGTGTTACTCCCGCACCTCGCTCAGCCAGTGAGCGGCTGGTCTGTATGTGGGATCCGACCCCTCGGCGGGAGCGCCGCCACAGTCCCAAGCGGCGCACTGCAGCAGTGCGCCACCGGGCCAGCCCAAATTTTTAATTTTAATAAATCTAATTAGGAAGTAGTGATGATAGACAACACTGACTTACTCTCGGTCTTGGAGGAAAGCATAATATTTCACTATTAAGCATGACCCTAGCTGTAGGTTTTTTTTTTTTCCTTTTTGTCTTTTTTCATGACCGGTAACGAGATCGCAACCCTCGGTGTCGTGCCCGCACCGTGCTCAACCAGTGAGCAGACCGGTCTCTATATGGGATCCGAACCCTCGGCGGGAGCGCCGCCACACAAGCACCGCACCCTACCAAGTGCGCCACGGGGCAGGCCCAGCTGTAGGTTTTTGTAGATATCATATATTAGCTTGAATATTATCAAACAGTTTTTATTCATCTGTTGAGATGATCATAGGGTTTTTTCTCTTTATTCTGTTAATGTGGTTAATTATCACGTTGATTAATTTTTAATGTTTCGGGCCAACCCTGTGGCTCAATCAGGAGAGTGCGGTGCTGGGAGCGCCGAGGCCGCAGGTTCGGATCCTATATAGGGATGGCCGGTGCGCTCACTGGCTGAGCGCGGTACGGACGACACCACGCCAAGGGCCGCGATCCCCTTACCGGTCACACACACACAAAAATTTAATATTTCTAGTTTCCTAATCTTGCAATCCTGCAATAAACTTTCTGTGGTCATATAATCCTTTTTACATGTTGATGGATTTGATTTGCTAATATTTTGTTGATGATTTAGCATCTGTGTTTATGAGGAGTGTGGGTCTGTAATTTTCTTGTAATGTCCTTGTTAAGCTTCTGTGGCAGGGCTGTGCTCACCTGATGAAGAGTTTGGAAGTGCTCTGTCTTTTTTTGTTCTCTGGAGGAGTTTGTGTAAGGTTGAGACTACTCTTCCTGAAGTGTTTAGTAGAATTCACCATTAAAGCCATCCAGGCTCCAGCCTTTCTGGAAAGGTTTTAAATTAAGGATTCAATTTCTTTAATAAATATAGGACTTTTAATATTTTCCAGGTTTTTCTTTTCTTGTGTCAGTTTTGGTGAGTTTTTTTTTTTGGTTTTGGAGGAAATTGTCCATTTCATCAAAATTGTTAAATTTATAGACAAAAGTAGTTCATATTTTCTCACATTATCCTTCACTGCCTCTACAATCTGTGGTGATGTCTCCTTAAATGTCTGATATTTGCAGTTTATGTTTTCTTTCTTTTTTCTTAGTCACTCTTGTTTTAGAGCTTCATTGATTTTATTAACCTTTTCAGAAAGCCAGCTTTGACTGTGCTGATTTGCTGTCTTTCTGTGTCATTAATTCTGTTCTTATTTTTATTATTTTCTTCTTTTATCTTCATGGCATGTTGTTATTGTTATTTTAAACAATCAGGAGTCCTTACCCGCCTAATCTCTTCTTCTGATGCTCTGTGTTTGGTCCTGCAGATCTGTGCTGCTCTCCTGTGTCACTTCCCTTCAGCCTGAAGGATTTCTTTAATGGTGCCTGGACTACAGCTCTGCTGGTGACAAATTCTCTCAGCTTTGTTTCACTGAAAATCTTTTTATTGCATCTTCCTTTCTAAGAAACAGCTCTATCAAGATATAATTCACATACCATAAAACTCACTATTGTAAATGATTCATGATTTTTAGTAAATATATATAAGATCGTGCGACCCATACCTCAGTCCGGTGCCCATTTTCAGTCGATCCCTGCTCCCAGCCACCAATCTGCTTTCTATCTCTATAGTTTTTCCTTTTCTAGACAAACATTGCATATAAATGGAATCATATGATGTGTAGTCTCTTGTGTCTAGCTTCTTTCATTCTGCAAAGCATTTTGAGTTTTGTTCATGCAGTAGCTTGTGTGTACAGTTTGTTTCTGGATAGCATTCCGTTGTGCGGGTATGCCAGTTTTGTTTATGCATTCACCGCTGGATGGGCATTTTGGTGGTCTCCAGCTTGGGCTGTTGTGAATGATGCTGCCATGAATGTTTGCGTACAGATCTCTCTGTGGACTCTTCATTATCTCCCATAGACACATGGGAGTAGAACTGATGGGTTGTATGGTAAGTGTATGTTCAGCGTTTCACGTTTTCACCAGTGGCGAGTGTGGGTTCCAGTCTCATTTCATGCTCATAGCATTTGTGATTGGTTCACTGTTGTCCTCGTACAAGACGCAGGCGAGGCAGCGTCTCCGTGTCTTCAGTGTGCGTTTCCCAGTGACTGCTCATGCTGAGCATCATTTCACCTGCTTGTTCGCATCCACATGTCATCTTTGATGAACCATCCAGTCAGATCTTTTACCTGTTTTAAGAATGGACCATTTGTCTTCTGATCGTCAAGTCATGAGTGTCCCTTGTGTATTCTGGGTGTGAGTGCTTTACCGGTTAGGTGGTTTGCAGTGCTCCCCCAGCTCTGCCTTGTCTTGTCGTTTTCTCAGTATTGTCTTTTGAAGAGTTTATGTTTAATTAATTAATGTTTTTTTTTCATTTGTGTGACCGGTAAGGGGATCGTAACCCTTGGCTTGGTGTTGCCCACACCACGCTCAGCCAGTGACCACACCGGCCATCCCTATATAGGATCCGAACCTGCGGCCTCGGCGCTCCCTGCGCCGCTGCGCTCCCAGTGCCACACTCTCCCGAGTGAGCCACGGGGCCAGCCCAGTTTATGTTTAATTTTGATGAAATCCATTTTATCAGTCTTTACATTTTATATATCATCCTTGTGATGTCATATCTAAGAAATGTTTGCCAAACCAAAGGCGAGATCTGTCTGTGTAGTATAGGCCCCTCCCATGGTCCTAAGCACCAAACACTATGGAGTGCTCTCTGCTCTCCATCCTAACCATTGGGAGTACACGGAGGAATGCTGGGGTAAAGAGAGCCCCAGGGAGAACATGACATACCAGCTTTTTCTGAAGGTTTACGGGGAGAAATGTAAAAATTTTATGGCTGGCTGGTTGGCTCAGTTGGTTAGAGCACAGCCTTGTAACACCAAGGTCAAGGGTTCGGATCCCCTCACTGGCCAGCCACCAAAAAAAAAATTTTTCTTTTTTAATTAGTGAAAATTTTAAAGCATCTTTATATTAAAGCAAGAAATATTTATCATGGAGTAAAATACAAAATTCACATGAGTTTTTTTGATAATACGGAAGACTTCCTCTGTTTACCATCTCTTGAGTGCCTGTCTGCCAGGTACCATGCTGATTTCAGGCTTGTGGTGGCCATCTGGGGCTGCTGGCCCAGTTTCGGTGAGGCACACATCCACCCCGCTCTGTACGGCTGGAAGGTGTGAGGTGGAGACCCCTCTGCTGGCCAGCAGAGCTGGAAGCCTTATCCCAGCTCCTCTCATCGGGATCACTCTTCCTTCTCACAGGCCAGACACAAATGTCCCACACACAGGGTGACCTCCGTGGGAATGATCAGACGCTGAGGCACCACTTGTAGATAGGTCCACATGGACTCTCTAATCTGCTGTAAGGAGAAGCTTCTGTTAGCACCGTCCTGGAACCAGAGAACATCTAGTGTGTGTCTAGGGGGTTATTTTCTAGGTTTTTTCCTGGATGCTTCCTTTTTTCTCTTTAGGTTTGGGAAAAGTTCTTAAGCTCTGAAACTCCACGGATTAATGTATTTATGGCAGTGCCTACAATATATACCAAACTGATCGATTACTACGACAGACATTTTACCCAGCCTCATGTCCAGGATTTCATACGTGCAGTTTGTGAAGAAAAAATCAGGTAAATGAAAAGAGCCCACTTTTTATCCAGAAAGTTTTATTTTTTTATTTAAAAAAAAAATTTTTTTTTCCTTTTTGTCTTTTTTCGTGACCGATAATGGGATCACAACCCTCAGTGTCGCACCCATACCGCGACTGGCAACGGGATCGCAACCCTCGGTGTCGCGCCCGCACCGCGCTCAACCAGTGAGTGGACCGGTCTCTATATGGGATCTGAACCCTCGGCGGGAGCGCCGCCGTGCTCCCAAGTACCTCACTCTACCGATTGCGCCACTGGGCCGGCCCCAGTCCAGAAAATTTTAAAGATCAGCAGATGTGACAGATTCTAATCAGCCAGTTCCACTAAGTTTTAGGAAGCAGGGTTTTCCTCTTTCTCTAAATGGCGTGTCATTGTCTTGCTCTGTTGGTCTGCACGTAGACCTGTATTCTATGCCTCCACCTCTCTGTCTGCCTCTCTGCACTGTGGTAGCATCTGCAGACGAGCATGGGGGTGGACTACCTGTGCTTTCATCCACTCTGCCGGCACGGACCATGGCTCCTGCCTCTGCTGTGCCTGGTCTGTGGCCCCAGGAGCCCTCTCCTGTCGCCCTGCCCCTCCTGCTCCCTGGGTATACACACCTTCACTCACAGCTGTGAGCTAAATCTCTGGGGTCCTTCAGTGCATGAAGTTTGCTCTGCGTTCCCTTATGATCCTGTAGACAGGTAAGTCTCTCTCCCTTTTTACTGGAGCATGACTTAACAAGTGGAAAGTGTGCATGTGGGCGTGTTGCTGAGTGAACCTACACATACCAGGCAGAGCAGAGGCGTGGGCGGCTGTCTTCTCCTGTGGCAGGGGAGAACAGGAGCCCCTTGCTGGGCTGCTGGGTGGCTTCTGGCTGCGACCTGCATTCATTTTCTGCGGCCTCCGTGCCGCTGTGACGCCTGAGCCCTGCTCCTCAAGAGAGCACAAGGGAGCAGGCCTTCGCTTCCTGGGGAGAGTCCAGATCACCCCGGACAGGTGTCTGGTATTGTTGTGTTTCTGCTCATGTACAGTTCCTCTGCTCCTTTTCTACAAAGACATGAGAAAGCTGGAACCCTTGATTTTGAAGTGGCTGCTCACCAACTACCCGGACCCACCTGCACAAAGCCCCCAGGCTTGGGCAGCTGCCGAGGGAGCTGTCTACTGCTCAGGCCACTGATTTGAGACCAGGGTTACTTGCACATTTTACCAAACCTAAAGAACCAAGGGCAGGAAGGAGATCACAGAGAGAGAAAGTCAGGTGACTTCTGGTGATGCCACCTTGCTGTGGGAGGCCCCGTTGATCGAGCACCCTCACAGAGGAAGGGAGGTGCTGGCGCCCCAGGTCCAACTGCAGGCAGAGCACTCCACACCCCCTGCACACAGTGCTGCTGTGAAACACTGGGGGAGGCAGTGAGGGACTCCTGGTGTCATGTGAGTGTCACCAACATCCACTAACCTGAAGGCTGAGGCATGCGACGAGCCTCTGTGCACGGCCTGGCCTTGGCAGCTGCCAGCGTCTCCTGCTCCTCTCGAACGTGGTGGCCTTGTATCCAAAAACTGGATTGTGTTGGCATCACCATCAATGTTACTGTTGCTGTTATTCAGGATTGTTTGTGGACAGCACAGTAACTATTTGCAAAGTGCCACCAAAGACCCTGAAAATGCTTTTTTACCTTGATTCCTTTTGAAGACCTGTTTATATTCCAAAATATACCCAGCAAATTATTTTTTTCTAATTAAGTTTTAGCCCAAACTACATTTTTATCATGGTTTTTAAAGTATAGTGGTGTCGGGTGGAGAATACTCTGCATCGTCTGTTTTATTGTGCTCATGAAGAAGTGCTGTCTCTGCATACCAGGGCACTGCCCCTTAGAAGCTAAGGCTGCTTTTGGTTGTGCCATGCAGGCTCATGGTCTCTGGCTCATCGGCGCTGCCCCTACCCGTGCTGGAGAAGTGGAGGAGCATCACAGGCCACACTCTGCTGGAGAGGTACGGCATGACAGAGGTCGGCATGGCCCTGTCCAGCCCCCTGGCCACGGCGCGCCTGCCAGGTATGCACAGCTCCTGCAGCTGCTTCCGCCCCCACTTTGCACTGAACCCCTCAGGTGGGCCAGTCACAGGCCACCCATGTATGGACTAGAGGGATGTGGAGGGCGCTGCCTTCTGGGACAGGCCACCAGGCCAGGAGCACCCTCTCTGGGTGTTTGCTGTCCACTGTGACTTATACCATCTGGACAGATCTACTTTTCTCCCAAGCGTCCGGTCAGGGATGGGATAGAAGGTGCTCTTTGTGCCTGGATCTCCTGGGGTGACACGCAGAATAGATAGGAAGCTACAGAATTTGGGGCCTGGCCCCTGCTGTCAGGTGGGGCTTGCTAGGGCCCTGCTGCTCACTCCAGACCAAGCTTACCCCTGGTGGGAGCCTCCCGCCCGTCCAGAGTCCAGGTGCCCTGAGCCATGCAAAGCCGGCGGCCATGGAAGAGATGGTGAGGGACAGGGGTCCTGTTTTAGTCCGTTTTGTGTTGCTATAACAGAAATAACCTAAGACTGGGTAATTTATAAAGGAAAGAGGTTTATTTGGCTTACGATTCTGGGACAGCTGCATCTGGCAGAGGTCTCAGACTGCTTCTACTCATGGCGGAAAGTGGCAGGCAGCCGGCGGGTACAAGCAGATCACATGGTGAGAGGAAGCAAGAGAAAGGAAGCAAGAGAGAGAGAGAAGGTGCCAGGGTCTTTTAAACAACAAGCTCTCACAGGAACTAATAGAGTAAGAACGCACTCATTTATCCCCCCTCCTCCAGGGAGAGCATTAATCCATTCATGAGGGATCCACCCCCATGACCCAATCAGTTTCCAGCTCTGTCACATTGGGGATCAAAATTCCACATGAGTTTTGGAGGGGACAACACATCCAAACTGCATCAGGTCCCATCCTCTGCTAAATGACCACGTGCCTCCTTTCCCTTCTCTAGACAGATGTTCCTGGCATCAGGCCCCTCTTTTCACCCAGCCTTCCCGAAGATGTTCCAGTCCGGCTTTCACTTGCACAGGCCCTTCATGTCCTGGGTCCTCCACAGGGATCTCTGCAGGAAGAGTCCAGGGCCAGGGCTGCTGTTTCCTTCCAGGCCGCCTCTGCCCATTCTCGCAATTAGTCCACTCCAGTGTATCCAAAACAGAAGAGAGATCTTGGTTTAGAAGTACAAGTGAAGTAAATCTCTATGATACCCATGCAACCACTTACCTTGCACGCTCTGTGAGATTCGCCCTTTCTGGTGTATAGCGCTGTAAGCTTTGAAAACACCAGCACAGTCACGACATAGAGGGCTCACCTTCAACAATTCCCCCTTTTTTGTGGTCCACAGCTCCTCTGCCCCCAGCCTGCGACCACTCACCTGCTTTCTCTTCCTGTTGCTTTGCTTTTTCTGGGACGTCCGACAGAAGAATCCTGCAGGACGGAGCTGTTTGAGTCTGGATTCTCTCACATGGAGACTTGTGCTTGCTCCTGTGTCATTATGTGTTCAATAGCTTGTGGCTTTTTGTTGCTGAGTGGCGTCCATGGTGTGGAGGTGCCACCTTTATGACCTGTGCACCAGCTGAGGGACCTGTGGTTTCTTCCCAGTTTTGGACAATTACAAGTAAAGGTGTTGAACATAGGTTCTCATTTCACTTGGGCCCATGCCTGGGGCTGTGTAGCTGGACTTTGTGAGCTGCTGTGCGTTTCCAGCGCAGCCACACCCCTGGCGTTCCCACCAGTGTGGATGAGAGACACAGAGCCACCTCGTCCTCCGGAGCTCCTGTGTTGTCTGGCTTTTTTAAGTCGTTCTCACAGGGTGTGGTGTGTCCTGTCAGCTTATTCTTCTCCAGTGACTGGTGGTGTCCAGCCTCTCTGTACATGCACCTGCCATCTCTGTGCACCTTCTCTGTTGAAATGTCTCGTCAGACTTCTGCCCATTCCGATTGAGAATTTTTTAAAATTCTGGATACAAGTCCTTTATCAGACATGTGATTTTTTTTTTTTCTTTTTGTCTTTTTTACTGACCGGTAACGGGATCACAACCCTCGGTGTTGCGCCCGTACCGCGCTCAGCCAGTGAGCGGGAACCGGTCTCCACATGGGATCCAAACCCTCGGAGGGAGCGCCGCCGCGCTCCCAAGTGGCGCACTCTCCAGTGCGCCACCAGGCCGGCCCAGACATGTGATTTTAAATGCATCTTCTCAGTTTGTGGCTTAATATTGTCTTTGAGATCAGAAGTTCTTGATTTTGGCCCGGCTTATCAATTTGTTCTTTTATGAATTGTCCTTTTAGTGCCATATTTAATAAATCTTTGCCTAGCCTAAGGTTGCAAAGGTTTTCTACTATATTTCCTTCTAAAAGGTTTATAGTTTTAGCTTTTACATTTAGATCTGTGATACATTTCGAGTTAATTTTTGCATATAGTACAAGGTATGGATTAAAGTTCATTTTTTTCCATATGAAAATCCAATTTGCCAAGCACCGTTTGTTGAAAAGACCATCCTTTCCCCCATCAAGCTGCCCTTTGAATCTTTGTCAGAAGTCAGTGGCTATATGGGTCTGGTTCTGTTTCTGGGTTCTCTTCTGCTACGTTGGTTGGTCTGTCCTTTTGCTGATTCCACACCGACTTGACTCCTGTGGCTTCACAGTGGACCTTGAAACCACAATTTGTCCTTTTCAGAGGCATTTCGGCTCATCCAGTTCCTGTGCCTTTCTCCTTGGCATGGGCGTGATGCTGTGGGCAGGTGTTTTACAAGGTCCACAGTGGCCCCACAGTGGGAGGTGTCTAGGAACTGAGGCCTGGGGACTCAAGGAGGCCAGACAGATGTGTGGGGCCAGGCAGGGGACCAGCATGTGTCCGGGTGCTGAGGCCAGAGTGGACATGGTGCTAAGGACCAGTCAGGTCAGCGTGGCAGATGGGTGGTCAGGTGGGGAGAGGGAAAGGAGGTGTGTTGGGTAAAGGAGCCTGCAGGACACGGTGCCTGAGAGGCTCCCGGCTGACCAGGGAGGGGGTCCAGAGTGCAGAAATTCTTGAATCTTCAGTTACTGGCTGTAGCTTTTACTCAAGCCTCAGAGTCAGTGTGCGGAAGGCTGGGGCACACTGTCCCCTAGAACAAAACCAGATGTCCGTGATTGCTTCTTGTCTCCAAGTCACTAGAGGTGCTGAGTCAGCCTGACAGTCAGTGTAGCACCATTCTTTGGTTTGTAAAAAAGTAGACAGCACAGCCCTCAACAATAAATTCAAGAATGTTACATAAAAATTCTTTAAATACAGTCTCCTGAGCAACACTTCTGGAGAAATAAGGTTGAAGGAGGATCTTTCTTCTCACTTTCGGGCTCTTGTCCAGTTCTCAGTCCCGATGGCCCAGTCCACGTGCAGTCCTGACCTCCGGCCTGCAGATCTGTTTCCCACCGAGGGCTGTGCAGTGTCCCCTTCACGCTCGGACACCTCCCCGCTGCTGCCCCTTCCCCTGCTGCTGCCCACATGGCCTCCAAGCGATATTCCTGTGGGGGATGGGCCCAAACCACCACCTGGATTCATTTGAAGGCTCCCTGAAACCCGACGGGGGTGGGGGGGGACAGGGGATGGCAAGGTCACCTCAGATGCAGAGAGAGAAGCCCACGCGGGTTGAGTGCTAAGCATTGCCCTCCCCGCCTCCCCAGACTGTGAAGGGAGATGAATAATTCATGGCCGAGCACTTGCTGGGCCTAATCACTCTAATTGGAGGTGTGGATCAGAAACACCAGGAGCTCCTGCAGTGCTCTGTGAGGCGTGGACAGGGAGCTCCAGGACCTTATTGTTGCTTCCCTTCTCTAGGGACTCAGGCGGGCAGAGCGACATCACGGCCAGACAAGAGATAGAGGCCGCAGGCCAATTAAAGTCACCTGAGAAGAGCCACAGCCATTTTAGAGAGCCGACTGTTGGAAGAGGATAGTGCTTCCTCTTCCTGCAAAGGACCAGCCCCATTCACATTGGCGCACGTGCCCAGAGTGCAGCAATGTGCACCTGGTACGTGGATGGTCCCTTCCTCAAGCCCTTGTGGGCAGTGTCGCTGTCCTGCTTCCTGCTGAGTCCAGACACTGTCCTGGACTCTTCTGTGCTGCTTCAAATGCTCAGGCACATGTGGCCCTGGGCAGATCTGCAGGCTCCTGCTGGTCCTATCCTGGTGTCCCCAGGGCTGGAGCCAGCAGCCCAACCTGCAGGGACAGGGAGCACACTTGGAGGAGGCAGTGTTGCCTTTTGGACAGGGCTCGATTAGGAGCATAAAAGGAAAGGAGCCGGTAGCAGGCTTTTGTCTCTGAGGGAGGGTGGCCTGTCCTGCTTAGGATTTTGGATGCGAGGTGATGAAGTCACTACATTCTCCTGACCACTGAAGCCACACTAGTGGAAGTCCTTTTTGGCTGGTGCTTTAAGAAGTCCCTTCCGACCAGCCTCAGAGGGTCACAAATTGGTTGGTGGTGGATGCTTCCTCTGCTCAGGCCGATCACCTTCCTGGCACTGCATCTGGCCATGTTCCAGCAGCAAGAACCCACCTGTGGCTGTAGAGTAGGGGGCACTGCTGCTCAGCGGAGCACAGAGCACTCTGGCCAGCCTCTGCCTGCCTCCTGCATGCTGCCTCTCTCCCCTGCACTTTCATCTGCTCATTTCCTCCTCTGTTCTGTGTCTTTTTACACATGCACTTACATTGTAAACAACCAGACAGTGACCACCAAGGAGCTGAAACCAGGCTCAGCCTACTGAGGTTGACCGTGAAATGGGAGCAGTAGGGAGCAGTCTAGCAAGAGGTGTGATCTCTCAGTGGGGAGCCGTGGCCATGGCCAGACGTCTTTGGTGCATTGGCCCCTCACTCATCTGTCGGTCCTTAGTAGACAGTGATGCCCAAGGAGGCGCAGCGAAGCCTGGGTGTCTAGAGGACAGATGTCAAGCCTCATCATGAGATGTTGGTCCTTAGTATATGGTGATGCCCAAGGAGGAGCAGTGAAGCCTGCATGTCTAGAGGACAGATGTCAAGCCTCATCATGAGAAGAACTCCGCAAGGGTGTGGGGTCATTTAATCTAGAAAAGATCATGACCTTGAGGTTCGCTGTCAGCCTGTGTATAGAGTATGCCGAGTGGCGGCTGCTCTCTGTCCCGCTGTAGGCACAGCTCCACGTCTGGGAGGCTCTGAGCTTGCAGCAGGGACAGCCGAGGGCAGAGGGCTCAGGGCTTCATCTGCGCATGGGCTGTGCTGAGCATCCTGGCACTGTGTGGCATGCGGCACCCAGTAGATGCCCTGCCAAGAAGAGGTGAATGGCCACCATCACAGGATGCCATGCATATGAACGTCCCAGACAGAAACATGCAGAGAGACAGAGAGTCACCTTACAGTGGCCAGGGTCGGGGTGGGGGATGGGGAGAGACCGTGCATGGGGAGGGGTGTTTTTCTGGGGTGATGGAGCAGTTTGAACCGGAGCGAGGTGGTGGCCGCAGAACACTGTGAAGTCACCACCACCACCAACTATGCACTTTAAAATGATCAGTTATGCATTACATGGATTTCACTTCAGTTTTAAAAATCTTTAGAAACAACACACGAAAAAAGGAGAGACAGGAGGATGCTGCCCCACTGTGTCCTTCTGGGCAGTGACACCAATTTCTGACCAGAGCCACAGGGCTGGCATCAGACCATGTGGACCAGCAGAAAACTCCGCAGGGCAGGCCCTGCTCCACACACCCCCTCAGCCCGGCACCGGCAAGAGTGAGACTTGTGCAGACAGGCCTGCTAGACCATGGGCCCCAGGACCTCGGGGGGTGACAGCAAGAGCGTGTGGAGCTGCTTTCCTGCGAGACTTTGTCCTGTGACAGATCTCCACCCACTGGCATCGTTACCAACACCCCAGATCATCCAGGCAAGGGGCCAGCTCTCCTGTCCCTGTAGTTGATCTCAAGTAGAGACAACACTGGAATCTACAATGGGAGGTTATGAGGCCTCCGGAGATGGCTTGGGAAGTGCTGTGTAGAGCTGGCACCTGTGGGGCTCAGCGAGCATCCATGGGCGCCCACACCGTCCTCTCCAAGGTCCCAGGCACAGAGCTTCCCCCTCCCAACACCCACCACATGTGGTGTACACACGGGGAAGCCCAAGGAGTCCGAGCATGGGCTGCGTGTCTCTCCTCTGGATCTGGCTGACTGCCTTCTTCTGTGTTTTCTCCCCTGTAGGTTCTGTGGGGACCCCGCTGCCGGGAGTGCAGGTGCGCATTGTCTCAGAAAACCCACAGAAAGAGGGCCGCCCCTACGCCATCCACGCTGAGGGAGATGAGAGGGAGACCAAGGTAGCACTGCTGTTCTGGCCATGGCAGTCGTGGGTATCATGGGACTGGGACATTGCCTGGCGGGTGCAGGTTACAAAACTGTCTCTTTCCCTTGCCAGGTGACACCCTCTGTGCAGGGGACCAGCGCCCCTGGGTGAGGGAGACACCAGCATTACCAGGGCACCCACATGTGTTTTGGGGTTACCCATATATGTCCCTCTGTCTGCTCACAGCACGGGGGACAGAGGGAGCCGAGGCGTGGGAGACGCAGGGCCCCGCCTATTGGGGAAGTGTCGAGATGAGTTGTTATGGGCTAAGGAGAAGCTCACCATGAAACACTGGAGGGCACTGTGGATGGGGATCTGGTTGAAACCATTGAACTGGCGTGACCTGGCACCCATTCTGACCGGACGCTGACCGTAGACTCCCAGGTAGGTGCCGGGCAGACGCACAGAGCCCGGCCAGCCAAGGCAACTGCTTCTGCTGAAAGCAGCACTCTCTCTGTCCCATGTGTTGTTCTAAAATCGACAAGCGTGGACAAGAAGAAAGAACAAGGTCTCATTTCAGTGAGGATTCTAAGAGCTAAGCATCTGCAGCTCACAGTGAGCTCGAGTCACAGAGAAAAGTTTAGGGATGGTTGGAAAATTGAATTTTGATATAAAAGGAAATTATTCCCTCTGAAGCTGACATCCATAGCAGGTAGCACTTGTGATTGATGCTGTTGCCCTGAGGGGTTTACACGAGGAAGGAGTCACAAATCCTTTCACCTGATTCCATCCCCACATGGCCTGCTGGTCAGTCCAGCTCCTCACGTGATTCCACCTCCACACATTCAGGAGCAAGCTGTGCTAGTCCACCTGGGACACGCCCTCAGCACCAGGGACAGGTTGTAGCAGGCTGTACACCTCTCCAGGCTTGGTCTCCGCATCTGACAGCTTGCGGGTTGGAGGAGACGGTGGTTGTTGAGTGGTTTAGCTCAAGCGAATGGGCAGGACCTGGGTGGCCACAAGTGGAACTTCATGAAAGTTCCCAAATAACTTCAAGAAGTAAGTGTTCTGCTTATTTAAGAAAACCTCCTACCTGGGCCCTCTGCTAGACCACAGCTCGTGTGTGGATCAGGTGGTGCCTCCTGTCTTGCATGGTGCCCACCCTCAGGTTGGCCTCAAGGCTCCAGGACCCGGCCATCCTTCCGTGACTTCCTCTCTGCTTGGCTCCTGCCCCTGCCCAGCTGGCTCCAGGGCCCTCAGCCACACTGGCCTTTCCTGGCCCTTGGGTCTGTGCCCTGGAGGACACCTGCCCACCCCAGGGTCAGCTGGCCTAGCCCTTCACAGGGACAGGACTCTGCCCATGTTTGTGGGTCAGGGACACCGTCCTGTCAGTAATGTTCCCAGCACAGAGAGGAGCGGTGCCCAGAAGATCCTTGATGGCTAGGGAAACAAGACACCCACTGCACAGGCCTCTGTTGGGGGACACACCGAGGTCCCAGGTGCGTCAGCTGATGGGCTCTGGCCTCCACTGGCACCTGTTCTGCCAGAAGTGATAGAAATGTTGCCAGAGAAAGGGATGAGGGGTGTGTCTATCTTAAATTAAAATAAAACTTAACTGCTTTGCACCTGTAGTGGCAAGCTGCCGGCTACACCTAATTACACGTGTGCTGCGTGTCTCTAATTGTTTGAGTCTACAGAGAGTTCTTCCCTGAAACGTGCTTAAAATAGAAGCAGCAGGCACCATGACAGAAGGAAGCTGCTCTTAGGGCTCCAGGGGCATATGGGGCCGTCAGAGAGACATACCCTGGACTGCTTTAGTATTAGAATAAAGGGGCATTTGCAGTTCAATTGAGGCACCAGTGTAGCAGTGCTGGATAGAGCCATCTCCACGGTTGTGTGGCTCCGCCAGAGGCTCAGGACCCACCTTCGTATGTGGGTGAGGGTGGGCCCTGGGCCCTCGTCTCGTGTTTGTGTCCTCTAACAATTTGGACCATGCTTGTCAGACACCCTCGGGGTTTCTGTAGCAACTGTGGAGAGGGATGACCTACAGCGGGAACCAGCTCTCCTCTCCCAGTGGTCCTATGTGAAGGAACCCCCCAGCTCACACTCTTACACATGAGTGTACATGGTGGACCTACACCCCACAGCACAGGGATTCCTGCCTACATAACCGCAGCCTGGGTCAGCATTGGCTCAGGTAACATTGTTGCAAACTTCATGTCATCTGCTTTTGTTCATTGACCCTGTGGCATTTGGCATCTCTTTTTTTTGCTGCAGGGTTCTGCTGGGGTCGGGTTTGCCTTTAATGCCCCATGACTGTTCTCAGGCAGAAGGTCACCAGGCCCTCGGACCTGAGTGAAGAGGGGTTAGTCAGAAAATGGAAGGTGCCCATAGAAAGGAGTGTGCTGTGTGGGGATGGGAGGACTCCCTTGCCGAGATCTGTCTGGGGCCAGAATATCTGGATCCTTCCAGGGCCATGACCGACCTGCCATGGGGGCTCCTCATCACCCTGCTGAGGGCCAGCACAGATGCCCACCTCCACGCCCTGCTAGGTTACCAGGGAGCCTGGCCCAGCACTCAGTCATGCTAACTTTTGGGGGCTTCCTTGAGGTCTTGTGTGTGTGTGTACAGGTATGTGCTATGTGTTGTCATGATTTTGAGCCATTTGGTTATACGTTTTCACTTTGCCTTTTTTTTTTGAAGATTACAGGTAAGGGGATCTTAACCCTTGACTTGGTGTTGTCAGCACCACACTCTCCCAAGTGAGCCACGGGCCGGCCCCTATACATTTTCACTTTGCATACTTTAAGTCCTAAAGTGCCTACTCATGTGATTAACCTCCAAGAACACAGGTGTAAATGCTGAGGGATTTTCCTCCTGGTAGAAGAGTCTGAGTGTAGGTGCCCTCTGCATGCCAGCATCCACACACACAATGCGGGGACAGTGTGTGCAGCCTTGACCTGGCAGCTGCCACCTGGTTGCCTTCATGCAGACAGTGCACTTGGCTACAGGTGTACCTCATGCCTGGAGGTCAGGGCTTGGTTCCACTTTTCACTCTCACAAATAGGTTGTAGCCGATGGCCCACGCAGGCCCCTAGTGCCTTTCCCCAGGGCTCTTTCTGGAATGCTCAGTCCCCTGCCGAGTGTGCTGCACCTTCTGTCGGCTCCCTGCCCGTTGTGCTCCATCCCGCCGGGCCAGGGGTGGCTGAGATGTAAAGTGGAGAACTGGACACTTTCTTCTCTCAAGCCCCTGCATTTCCTCTTTGCCTGTGAACCGCTTCTGTGCTAACCAACTTTCCTGATCCTGCCAAGGTTTTGCCGAGAGTTTTCAGGACCTCCAAATACACTGAAAAGCAGGTCATTTCCATTGAACACGTGCTTGACATTTTGGCATTTTTATAAGGTCAGAGTCTCTGATTTGCGAAATTTAATGCGTGATCCCACAAACAAGATTTGCTTTGTGCTATTGATGAGGTTAGAACAGGTCATAATTTGCTTAAACATGAAGGATCAGAAACCATCCCAGACTCTGGAGTCAGATTTTATAGGGAGGGTATGGAAGGAAGATGGAAGTCTGTTTTCTGTGATCATAACTTCGCACCTTCATCCCTGTTGAGATGATTTGGGACCCACTCCCTTTGGCCCTGCCTCCTGAAGCACTCTTGCTGTGCAGCTTCTGAGACTCGCTGACAGTAGAGATACCCGATTGCCTGACAAAGCACCTGTGGCTCTGTGCTCTTGGCTTCTCCCCAGCCTTCTGGGCCTCACTATGGTGGGAACCCTCCACTGCACGCTGACAGGTCCACAGGTTCCTCAGGAGCACTTCTTGTCTCAGCCAGACAACCTTTTAGAATCTGTAGGAACTTTCTCTGGGGTAACAAGTTCATTCCTGGAGTTAGGAGGTGATGTTAGTGGGGAGGAGATAAGAGCTGCACATTGAGTCCCTCTTTTAAAAGTGACCCCACTGTGCATGATCATATTTGAAGTGAAAGGTCCTCCAAAGAGAATCAGCGTAACAGTTAGCTGGAAACACCTGTAACCAGCGCGGAGCAGGTTGCCCATGCACAGAGGTGGGCCGTGGCCGCCTTGGCATGTGGCGTAGCTGGCGCATAGCGTGGCCAGCCTCTGGGGGGCCGCCAGTCTGCCACTCTGCTGCAGGTGCTTCCGTGTCTTGCAGCTTTGTTGGGTGGGTGTTGGGTGCTGGAAGAGCGGGCACCTTCTCCTCTTCCCTACTAGGGAAAGTTCTGGCTCTGTTTGAAGTCATTCCACCCGCATGGCCCTCCAGGCTGAGAACCAGAGGCTCTGGGCCACTGTCTCCCTGCTGCGTGGGGTATGGGGGTTGCATAACCCACCTCCCCCACCACGTGGCTTTGCTCACTCTGATGCAAGTTTTGCGTGCACAGCTCCCCAGCGGCTCCCGCCTGTGTGCCCTGTACACACAGGGCATTGTCTATTAATTATCTTTTTATTTTTCCAAATTGCTCACTTACATGAGAGCCCGACACCAGCCAGTGACAGTAGGGTCTGTCAGTAGGTGAACGTCCACACAGCTGCGTGCAGCACACTGTAGCCAGGGCTTTTGCACAGCATCATCTTCTCTTCATGAGGTGTGGGTGGGCTGAGGCGGAGGCCACATGGTGGCAGCCAGCTCGCTTCTATTTCCCCCTTTAAAAAATTAATTATCTCGTTGTTTATCCATATGCAAGCTGTCACTCTGGATTGCAGACCGCTCTGTTGCTGCCTCCCCTCCCATGGCAATAGTGTCTGTCCCCCACCCGCCTCTCCCTCCGCTGCTCTCCCCACATCCCTGCCATCTATCACTGTGCTGTGCTGCCAACTGCTGTCCCGGCCCATAGTGGGGTCTGGGGGCATGGACAGGTCCTGGCCTGCGAGGGGGGTTGGGGGATCGTGTTATCCCCACACACAACTCACTTCAGACGAGGCTCAGGGTGTGGGAGATTCGCCCCTCTCTATAAAGGACCAGTCAGGAGGTGGCATGACCCTAGACAGGATTCTTCAGACAGAGAAGTGAGT